ATTTCTCTTCCCCTGTGTGTTTATCTGTCCCCCCAAAACTTGTCACTTGTCTTTTAACATAACGTGATTCGAATGTATGTGTAAACAGCTGATGAGAGTATCATAAAATAGATGAATTCAACACATCCTCAGTGATCATGTGATGCTTCTTCTTGCGCTCATAAAGAGGATGGTGTAGTTCAGGCGGTGATGAGCAAAAGACTTCTTGTCTAACACGTGACACAGCGTGCACAGTTTGCATCACGTTATTCCAAGAGTAGAACTCACTTCGTGGTGTAATTGCTTGTCTTACTCGGTCCAGTCGGGGTCAATCGAGTTAGACGATGAGAAAATTGTCTTTCTGTGAGATGAGGCAGCTCTCCGAGATGGGGCCAGCAGAGCACATACGCGTTCCAGTTTCTGGATATTGAGTCATGAACCAACAGTGTCGATCGATCAACAGTCATACAATTCAAATAGAAGACGTATGACTTGAAGAACAAGGACGACGATTGGCTGATATCCGTTTGACCAGTGATATTCCTATTTCCACATTTAATGCGATTGGCTTCCCTCAATAAATGCATCGCTACTTCAGTGGATTTTTTTCCTGCGTCTAGGTGAAGGGAGACTCCAGCGTAGTTCAATTGCTAGTGTAATTCTGTGTATCACAGTGATTCGTGATTCATAATCCATACCTAATTCGATTATTACACTTTCTTAGGTTAGTCACCAATCCGAGTCGTAGTTTGGTCAAAAATGCATACCCAGTTGGAAAATACGCCCAACTGTAACATTAACTTTCAACTGGTAAATCGCAAAAGCGCCCCGCAAATTATTGCTTACATTCTCCATATCGAAACTTAATACGGTGACGGATCGATAGAGTTGCCTTAAAGAAGAGGAGTTAGAGCGGATGAGAATTCGACCGGTGGAGTCCCGGAAATATCCGTTTGTTTAAAACTTCATCCGGATTTGATTCACGATGACAACTGCGGATTCCGTCATATTTTCTGCTTTTGTTGTGATTTATTAGTTTGCATTGACTGGGACCATCAGGTGCAGGAAAATTTGAGTTAATCCAACAGCAATGGAAGTTGAATTATTGAAACAGTAGATGTGTCTGCTTATGGATAATTGTGAATTGTGGAATTGGTAAACTCGGGAACCAGGTTTTTCCGTTTTTCTTCGTTGACCACTACGCTTAGGCAATCATAACTCATTTGGCACACAGGTGTTCTGAGGTACTACTCACATTTGTGAGTAGTATGTTTAAATTGTGCAAACGAATGTGATTGGTGGTTTCTCATCATGGTAAAAATAAAAAAGACCTCCTGAAACGAATTAGTGTTTTCAAAATTGTAATTAAAGGGAATTATGATAGCCTACTCCAAATGAGATGTTTCATTCTGTCTTTTGACAACATTATGAAAAGTTCAGCAGCCTTGGCGGGATTCGAACCCACGCATAGACGCCACCTACGCTTTTGTACAGTGCACACCTTATCAGCTGAAAGCTACGAGGCCACACAGATAGTACTGGTCTTTTCACATTCAAATCACCCGTCCAACTTACAGACGCATATGGCACTCAGCCCTTAACTTGTAAGCTGACTTCCCAGACAGGTTTTCCTCAAAAATCACCGGAGTCCACCGAATGAGCTTCTACGGCGAGGTTACTTGTTCAAATGGTTGTTTGGCAGACTGAAGTGTTATTTTATTTCATGCACCCCTATCCGATACCGTTCTCTAGTGAACAGTCTTTCGCGTCGTTGCAATGCCTTGTGGAATTGTAACACGGGATAAATGGAATGATGTTCTGTGATTCCTATTTCGGTATTCCGGAGCTCTGTCGACTGTTTCTTTAGGGAATGTCGTCGTGTACAAAGCTGAGGAAGTACTACTCACTATCTCACTGCTCGTGGCCGTGCTTTCACAACAAAATGAGAGGACGAAAAACCAACCTCCGGGTCTATGACCGGGTTGGTTAAAAATTGATAGTTCACCAGTGGTAGTTGGCTATGAAAGCTTATTCTAAATCAAATAAGAAGAAGCATATAAATCCCATGTTCAACGACATCTTCCTGATTGTGGCTGTGATCACCGGCTCGATTGGGCATCGAGGTGTTTTGGGCACCTTCGACGTTTGCCGCGTCCAAAGGGCGAATGATCCGATGATCTGGATANAAACCGCCCCACTTCTTTTCGGGTCAAGCTTTATTTAACCGAGGGCTTCAAATAATAATCCGCTTCCTTAACCTGTGGGGATATCTGAAGCGAACGGTTCATTCCCGAAAACCGAGAACTATCGAGGAACTTAAACAGAGCATTGTGGCGCAATGCGAAAGTATTCCAACTGCTACCATTCTGAAGGTGGAAGAAAACTATTTTCGCCGGATCTTGCTATGATAGCAGCAGAATGGAAAACATATGGAACAAATTTTATAATATGAATATAATTATTCCCGTCATATTTGTTCTTTCTTTCTTTCGGAATTCTGTCTCCACGGTAGTTAACGAGATCGTTCAACGCAAAAACAACCAGTTGAAAAAAAATCGGGAACAGTTTTGCGTGGGCCTACTTTAGGGGATATTGTTGTCCGTTATTAAGACAAGTTCAAAGTTTTATTATGATTATCTGTTTACCGAACCCGCTTCGAAAAATGGTGCGTGCATCTTAGACGAGTTAGGCGTTGGCCCCGTGTCATAATCGCTTAAGCATTTTCCATTCGGAATTTCCCACCGTTCCACAACTGATTCTCATGGGGTGATTCTCTACCAACACATGCTGTATCGGATTCGGAACCTATCCTCCTCCTGTGCCGGCCCGAAAATCACACTACCGATCGGGTCGATTTATC